CGTAATGTCAACACAACTAGTTTAAGATCGGAGTGTGACGTTTTGATGACTTCACTGTCACCTTCATCTGACCAAAAAAAAATATCTGATTAAGGTGGCTGTGTAGTCATAGAAACATCACGCTCAGATCTTCTACTGGTTATGTTATAATATCTTTTCTTGCGATGGCAATTAAGTCTGTATAAAGGAATGTTGTATAACCTGTATAATGTCAGTCAGCAGAAATTACTGAATCATGAATGAAAGTACACTGGTATATAACCTCGAGATAAATGTTCCTTTGAGATATCCGTGCTTTACGGTCCAAATATTTTTCTTACATGTAACACAGATATGCATAGTGTCAAAGAAGGCCACGATATCTATATACGTGTATAGAAAATACCTAGAGCCATTTGGGAACAGCTATAGATCAGTAGAAAAAATCTGATAGTAAAACGAGGGATTTTCGGTATCTGTTTATCATTGCACAAATGTCATAGGTATACACGTGTCCAATCATTCTGTAAACAATACATGACGTGTATTCTTTGTCATTCAGCTAGGTACAATGCAACAACGCATGTGCGTCCAGAACACGTTTACGTCACGAGTGTACTGTAGCAGGGATCTGCCGAAGGTCGCCTGATGAGAGAGTGATACAAATGCACTGCGTTGATCAAAATTAGATACAGCTTTTGGGAACGCTACCAAGCATAATTTCCTTTTAGTGTGGTCAGTTATTATCTGTATGATAAAGGTAAAGCTAATCTTCCAGGACAATGGTCAAGCATTATTTATATCACAATGGTCAAACTTCCTGAAAACGTTTCCTACGTTTTCTGAAGTACAAAATTCCATCATGGGAAGGTAAAGGTTACTCACAAGGTTAAATGTTCCAAACACCACAAAGTTTAAAGGTTTCTAAATGGCAAAGGTCAACCGTTCCATTCACGACAAAAGTCACATGCTCATTTCGCGACAAAGGTCAAATGTTTTCTGCAGGACAAATGCTAAACATTCCATGAATGACAAATATCAAACGGTTAATACACCGTAAAGGTCAATCTGCAAGTGTTTCCTTTTCAAGAAATGTGAAACGTTTCATTTTTGACAAGGCCAAACGTTGTTACAAAAATAGCAATATAATGACAGTTGCATGTATAAACAATACATTGCTAACAGGATTGGTTCCCCAGCGCTCCAATATCTCTCCTGTGGTATATCGGTTCGTATGGACTCAATCGAGTTTCTCCAATTATTGTCGACTTGAGGCCGATTGAGCTTTGTTATCGCGGCTTTTCAGTGACAAAGAAACAACGGCATTAGCTGTTATGTCGCGAAACGTGAGCGATCTCTCCAGAGTAAGGTCCTCGTGGTACAAACGTGTCGACAACAGACAGATTGTGTCTTTGGGATACACTACAGTGATATTTTTAACCGTTCAGTAGATTTTCCGGCCTGTGTTAAAATTGCCTGTGGAATCTGGGATAGCGGACATACTGTCCTACTGTTTGGTACTACGTCAAACCCTCTGTAATCTCTGTCGCTTATTTAGTTTTTATGCAGTCACAAAGGTAGACACTTGTGTGACAGTAATAATAGTGTGTCGTCGTTATCTCACAGGAGGTTCAGATCCCTTTCAGGTAATAACGCTCAACAAAGAAATGCAAACGATCGTAAAGATTTTCTGTAAACGAGATTAAAAACAGATTCACAAATAAGTAGTGTGTTGTATATTAGATAGATAAAGTTTAACCAGAATGTCAACAATAGGTTAGGGTACAGTTTGCACGTTAAACAGCTTTCATTCAGAACAGTAGAAGTAATTAGACAGAGCGCCGTTTAGAGACGTTTGTCAATTCCATTGTGTGATTGTCAGAAAATTGAATTAAATCGAACACAACTGTAGTTAGCAAACCTAACCTAACCTACACTATCACGAAGTATTCAAGTCCCTAACTGTGGTTTATCTCAATAGTTAGCAAACCTAACCTACACTGTCACGAAGTATTCAAGTCCCTAACTGTGGTTTATCTCAATAGTTAGCAAACCTAACCTACACTATCACGAAGTATTCAAGTCCCTAACGGTGGTTTATCTCAAAAAGTGAACGAAAATAACACGACCTATTACATCCGGATACGTAAAGGACATTTAGTGGAATGTTCAGCACGGCAAAGGTACAGCGATAGAGAACTTAAGCTGCGTGTGAGGTGCCCCGGGAAGCTTTGACAGTGATAAGTACCGACAGCCCCCATGGGCCCAAAACGAGGTGGGCTTACGACAAATAACAGTACATGTAATCCTAACGAAAATTGCTAGGTTCTCAAAAAACACATGTTCCTTTCACATTTTCACCAAGTGAAGGTATACCTAGTATGACTACCATATTGATGTGTTAGTTTCATATTTGATACAGGCGAGTGTTTCCAGTATTGTATGTAATACTCTATTTGTGGATAATAATTAAGATATTACGGTTTTAGTCTGGCGAGATACGATGATCAGATAAAGGCATCAGCTTCAGAAACGTTCTTTAATCTGTCCAGAGGAAAGGAAGGTGGGACTAAAACCAAAATATGTTTGAGGTATGCGAGGAAATGTAGACCAGGAAATAAGATACAGAAAGAACGCAGGCAAAACTATGTGTGATCATCATAATTTTAAAAAGGAACAACCGATATTTGAACAAAAATATTTTTACGCATTCGTTTGTAAGTTCTGCACAAGAGAAGGTTATCTATAGACGGAAGTATCAGACATGTAACCTATGGGAAAATCGATGTCACTTTGTTATTTTAACATCACAAAGAACGGTTAGATAAGTAATATCTGAATGGGCAGGTCACTACAGTTTCTGTAAACTAAAATCAACGACTACTGTTTGTAAACAAAACTGACAAAAGTTCAGCTAGATGTTTAAGTTCTTTTAGTTATTATATTGACGATTTCAGAAAACAAAAGCTTTTATGAATAATGTCGTCATTAATTTTTTATAATCTCTCGGATTGTTACATAATTATAAAAATCTCTACAATATCACATCAAAAGTTTCCTTAATTTAGTTAGGAAATGATAATGGAAGTATGAGTTGGTATTAATGTTTAAAATATCTATTATACATTAAGAATGACGGGTAGTCATTATCAATGAATTAGGTAACATGTAGCAACGATGTGTTAACTACTCAGGCCAATGTTGGCTGTCTCCGGAACACGGTATATTGTTTATGATAAAATCGGACAGGAAAGTGTTTATCAGCTGCGCAATATTTTCACCTGCCAAAATACAAGTGTTTGTAATTGGTATTGACATACCGGCATCAAGCGTTTGTTTACGATGTTGATGTACGACATTGTAACCCTGCCTCCAGCTAATTACCTCCCTGAGTAGTGGACTGGGGTGCCAATAAGACGCGCGCTCGACTGGATGTTTGGGTGATGTTGATTTGTGTATATGTTTAAGAGATTTCATTATTATTATTAATGATAATTAATTTATGAAGTAATTAATCCAGTAGAGGGTGTTAACCCAATGATGCACGTTCATTTCACGACAACATGGGAAGTACGATATCCTCATCGCTACGGCCATTAAGACGTACACAGCTGATTCAGATTATAAGGAAAGTTCGTCCTTGAGATTCTCTGTAAATTAATTTTATATCCATTTATGTGATACAAAATAATCCGCTGTTATTGCACCAATATATATATTTAGATTAGTAAATGAAATGAAGTGCACTTCCAAAATCCTGGTATTAGAGTCTTGTATGTTATCAGTCAAGCACACAGAAAGTGCGTTACAAGGTATGGAAATTCCTGCAACAGCTTAGTTTTATACACTCCGAAATAGTTATACACTCCGAAATAGTGTGGGATACATTGTAGTTAAACTATTATGAATAGAAGCCTCGCATCTGGAAAATGTGTGGAAAAGTACACAAAAAGTACTGAATACATACTGCTAACGACCTATTGCTCGAGTTGGCTGCACACTGAACTATTGTACTGGTGAGCCGAGGTCGAGAAGTACAGTACTTTAAGTACATGTACACTCCATGTTTATAGTCCCAAGGCTGGAGTCCACCTATACATGCGGTACACAATAATGTACCTTACCAGAAACGTCATGTACATGTCGCACTCAATCGTAATACGCATGTTTCCAGTCACTAGGAATTTAGTATAGTATCTCTTGTAACTGTCTACTTAACGTACGCATTCATAATGACGAGACCAAAAAGTTTCCATTTTACAGTGCCACACAGTATAATGTGTTTGTATAGCGGATGCACCGCCCCGAGGGCACCCTTAAGAATATATATGTACTGACAGTTAGGATAAACTTCATTCGGTTCAAGTTTTCAAATACGCTGATATGCAAATCAATACCTGAAATCGGTTTCCAGTATGTTATATGTTTTGACAATGAGAGGCTCTCTTTCTATAATTCCCAAACCTACTTTATTTGTATCCTACTCCACTGAAGCCAAACTACAGCATCACTTGTTACTTATAAATAAATCGGCCCGCTTCAGCATAAAATACTTCTGTTCAATGAATACAACTTGTTTGATGGAATGTAAAATATTCATAGGAGGGGAGAGAGAGTGGCAAGACTTTCTCGAGACAACGTGTGTCAGTGTTGTCTGTACTTTGTCTATGGAAGGCAGAATGTCAATACAACAGACTGGTGATGAGGAACAGTTCGGAACACTTTCAATTATCATCCCTATATATTTTGTTTTCAAATGTCAGTCGGAAGCCCTATTATCAGCACAAAACGTCTGTGGCATGGTGCCTTGAATATTAATCTTCCTGCTTTGTTGTTAGAAAAATATCTAAATACGTTTTCGCTAGAGTGACAAAGCTGACACGTCAATGGAATGCTTGAAACAACACTTTCATAGGGACTCTTTGCACAACACTTACACTCGCGTCGACACCTGCGCATGTCTGCTGTGTTTGCTTGCCTTAAAGAATGTAGCAACCTTGACCAGATGCCAAAATCCTGGTGTTCAAGAATAGACATTTTGGAACAAGTTACGCCAGGAACCATCAAACGCTTTCGCCTGTGTAGGAGAGGACTACATAGAAATATTTCGAGGGGATTACACGCTGTTTGAAGGTGGTGGGCGGTGCATCTTTGTTAATAATTTGGATGGGGATGTTGGTAAAGTAATAGTTGTCTATAAGTGCGTAGATATATACCCTTCAATAGGCTTCTATAACATCAGCACTCTCAGTAGGTGCTGTACACTAATGCATTACAATGGAGCAATAATGTGTGTTTTTAAACAGAATTTCACGGGTGAAACCAAACATGCCATGGTTTAATTTATTATGTCTATTCGATCCGACTAATGTGGTTACGACGGAGAAATAACTGCCACATCAATATAGGAGGCTTCTAACTGTTGGTGACGTACATTCATTCCTGGATACACTCGTATGTTAGTGACAGTAATCGCAGTCCTTGTTTTCCTCCTGTCCTTGTTGCCAGCGCTGGGCGCCAGTGTCCAGAGAAACACACCGGAATTAGTGGTGACAGGGAATTTAGGATCAAGGAATTCCATTCGTTACTCACATTATTAATTTCTCGTCGCCTTGACATCGGTAAACGCGGAGAATTAGTGAAACATAGGCGAATTATTGGCATTTTAAGCCATGTTTTGTTTTGTTCCTGATGCCACAGTGGTGAACACACAGTTGTCGTAGCTCACTGTCGTGTCCACGGTGTCCGGGAATAGCCAATGATACTATAACGGATATACAACGCCGCTCATCAACCGTCACACAGCGTTATATTTTGGTGTTCAGTGGTTCAAGGTGGCCATTGCCTATCTTGTTAATCGGATTTACATATCTATCTACCGAGATTGGATTCCCTTGACAGCATTTTGAACAACTATAACACGATGTCAGAAACATTGGTCAGTTCCAAGATGCGCTCTGAAAATAACAACACGTACCATTGGAAGCCGGACACCAAGAGGGCCGCGCCTTGTACATGTGCTCGGTAAATTCGGGGTAAAGACGGGTGGGAATACACTGACAAAACTATAGAAAACAATGATCACATTGATTATATATGTATAATGATAAGCTGTTGCAGTAATCTATTACTATGGACGGAGAAAAGTTTCAGTTTTCATTATTTTCACTTTATATCAAACGATTAATATTGTATAAATTGACTATTTAATGGCGGGATAATGCTATTTTGATGTTACATGTGAAAACAATATTTAATGTTTTTTTATAGACATATTTATATGACTAAATCAGACACATCTGTTGGTAGCTTACCCATGTACGTCTATGTTTATCATGACCACAGGTATGTTGTTTATCATACAGGTGTTTAAAACATTGTACGTCAAGGCTTGGTATGTCAACATGTATTGTATATAATGCACGTGTTTACGTATATGATTTACAGTCGGTAAATGATCTCGTGCACACAATTACACACGCCTTAACGTAATCAGAAGGTATAGACAAACGAGACATTGGATAATTGACCACACATGGCAAGTGTACCAGTACAGTAATGAACATGCATTCGAACGTACATTTGAGATGATTTTGTTGTTATGAAAATTTTGACTCGGTACCAGGTCTTAATAGCAAATTCTTTGTTAGATATAATTCAAATTTGTATGACGGGATGCCTTAATTATAGTAATATGTTTTTAGTATACCAATGCAAAATGTGTGTTTGATCAGTCCAAAACTTATACGGATTCACGGCAGTTGTTAAATGTCGTAGTTGAACACTGAAGTTTGTTTATAGTGTGCTAATTGTGTGTGATTTACAAATCTGGCAGTGTGTAAACGGTTTCCGTGACGGCTACAAGTGATAGCCGATGTTACCATCATGCAAACCAGATGTGTGGTGGCAAGCGTGACCTTGACCTCCTACAAACCTCCAAGAAGTCAATACGCGCCCCGTAGACCCCGATGTAAAGAGAATGTATCGATTCGTCTTTGATATATTAAGCCCGGTGCTTTGGAGCTTTCTGTAGGTTTAAGGCCAGAAGTAATTGAATAAAAATTGTTTATGTAACAAGACACATATTTATGGCTCCTTGGGATCTTAAAATAACCTTGGAATGCACGGCAATAACATAACACTATCCCAAGCCGATCATGTCGGAAATATTGGCTAGTTTTGTCACGTTGAAATATGTTGTTTAATGCTTGCTTGTTGTGACGATTGTATGCTTGGTTAGTGTCCACTTTTTGGTGCTCTCGGGGTATAGAAATTTTAGCCCAAAATTGAAAAGGGTTGTCTGAAGAAATTAGCACAAAGGCATAATTAAGTACCAAGAAATATCATTGTCGTTGGTGCAATCTTTTACATTGCAAATGGACAACTTAGAGGGCGAGGCATTCCTTGTGTATACAATGTGTGATGATAGGTGTCGGTATCTCTGTCTCTCACACTCTGAATAATAGATGTGACTATTGTCTGGTGAATTCAAGTGCTTCATGATATATACATGTACGGTTGTAGTTGTCGGTTTCTTTCTCTGTGGCGTAATTCACTGTCATACTATTTTCATCACTTCTCTGCTGATTATGTGGCTGTGTCTAGCTTGTCTTTAATGATATATGGTACATTCTTACTGTATGCCTGGTTACATACACCGAACTGTGATCTATCATTGAATGAATACAAAGTCAAACGAGTGAAAGGTACAATAGCTGTACAGGTTTTGACACGTTACATAACAAAATATGTATGATTCGAAATATTTTCTAACATGCATTAAAATTTAATACTACCGGTAAATTTGTCATTCTGTCCTAAAAAAAACTTGAACAGATGTCTCCGTGGTAGCGGCATTCTGATCGTACGTTAAGGATGAATCCATTACAAACTCTAGTCGTATTGGGCCCAGTGTATTCCATGGCAAATATGTAAAACAGATATCATAGCTAGAAACGGTAGACAATAAGTACCCCTAGGGAACTAATATTGAATTGTGGTATGCTGTTCCGTGTCACTCGGCGAATAACGTCCTCACTATCATGTTTAAAAAGGTGCTATCAATCAGCATTTTAAATATCCTGCACGTGCAGTGTCGGTCAGCCTTAGAGACATTCTACACAGGCAGTGTCGGTCAGCCTTAGATACATTCTACACGTGCAGTGTCGGTCAGCCTTAAAGACAATCTACACGGGCAGTGGCGGTCAGCCTCAGACATTCTACACGGGCAGTGTTGGTCAGCCTCAGAGACATTCTACACTGGCAGTGTCGGTCATCCTTTGAGACAATCTACACGTGCTACGTTGGTTAGCCTCAGAGCTTTCCTACACATGATGTGTTGGTCAGCCTCTGAGCTTTCCTACACATGCTATGTTGGTCAGCCTCTGAGCTTTCCTACACGTGATGTGTTGATCAACCTTTGATCTATCCTACACGTGCTGAGTCGGTCAGCTTCTGAGCTTTTCTACACGTGCTGTGTCGGTCAGCCTCTAAGCTTTTCTACACGTGCTTTGTCGGTCAGCCTCTAAGCTATCCTACACATGCAGTGTCTTTCATTTTGATTGTAATTGGGCAATATTGTCAATTCATGTAACAACACGCACGTGTAGTGAATTTCTGTCTCTGAAACGTTGTCCACATACGTTTTCGTATTAACCCAGGTGTTATGTCCTTCAGTTTCGGATGGCATTTAGGATTTGGTAGTTTCTGTATTTTGATCATATAATCGATACGTGTTTGGTAGTTTTTGCGAGTGCCGTCAGCCAGTAAGGTAGCCTGTACTTTTCCGTGTAGATTCCAGAAAGTGGAATATCAGTTCCCGCCATCATTCTATTTCAAATATACACGAAGAGACAGCACTATTACCGTGTAACTTATTCTCGACAGATTAATTCAAAACTTTACGACTATCGATTGAACGTACTCCTGGAATGAGTTGTCTGCTTTATTACCTCACAGCCTTTGATGTGGACCTAAAGCGTGGTTTAGCTGGAATAGAATACCAAACATCGGTGATATTATTCTCGGACTTGACGCTCTGTACCAATAGTAGCGGCCTTCTTGTACTAAAACTACAATACAGCAACGACATTTCCAATACTATTACCGTCGACAGAAATTGTTTGTGTAATTTCGGTTGGGGATGATGCTAACAAATGAAGATGAACACGAATTTAATGAAAACAAATCCAGAATTGCTAATGTATCTTACATCTAGGTATATTGTCAGGTACGTGGGCTTGATCATTATGTCACTATGGCAACTGAAATAGTCAGTTTATAGATAAGCTTGGATCTAAAGATCGATTCTTTATAGAAAGATCAGATGGGATGACCTCGCTCTGTACAATCATCACGCAACTATATCATTTTAATATCCATACTAAAATTTTCTCGACAATAACATCCACTTCTTTTCATCAGTTTATTAAACAGCTAGGATGATGTTTCTGGAGTCTGTAATAGTACAAGGTGTGTTTTACACAGCTCAGGAGGCTTGTTCATAAACTATCGTGCGTTCTCACGTTTTATTGGATTTGTATGTTACAAACGTTTTGTCCCTTTTTGTTTAATTACTCGTTTTATTGTTTGACAGTATGTCTCTGTCGAGCGTTTGTATCAAATTATCTATACAGGGTTGTATGATAAAGCACTGACGCATGGCGTCGTAAGGTGTACGCTCCAAGACATTTGTATTCTCTACAATACTAGTGTGATTTATAGATACTGCACGAAACAAGCTTGTTTACAGTAAACACCCAGTCGATCAAGTTATTTTACATGTAATGATATTCACTTATATCTACAGTATAGATCCGTTCACAATGTTTTGTAATGGTTTAATACTGGAAAGAGAAAGTAGGAAACCATATATTTCCATGACAAGTGAGCTTGAATGTAATCGTACTTAGCCTTGCCAAAACACAAAGGCGGCACTGATTGACTATCAAGGTTACTTCCTGATCCTGAAGCCATGACCGGGTAACGAAGCCAACTGGCTCACGCGCAGTTTTTTCTAGGCGTTGTTTGATGTTAATACAACACTTCCCTACAATCACTGATAGTGTTTACATAGGAACATGTACAACTGTGATTTATGTATATTTCAAATGTTTCTATATTGATCTCTTCTTGTACCATTGTCGCAAACAGATGTTGATTTTCTAAAATTTTCTGACGTGGCTCTAGATACTTAAAAATCGATTTAGATAAAATAAATCCCCCAACTACATATCAATTGTGTATATACACCATTATAATAAACAAAGACAACGAAATGCAGCAAAACTACAGTAAGATATATAACTACATTTACTTCAGTTACTTCAGTCACGTGTACACTTGTGTGTAATAATGGACATCTGATATCTCCCACCGACTAGAGTTCGAAATGTTTACTTTTCTACAAACTCATGGTTCTACAGACGAGAAAGTGTGTTTTTTAAGTTTATGAACTGTTTTGTAACAAATGGCGTTGTAACTCTAGGTCGATGTTTAACGTTCCTGAAGGGGTAGTACTTTTTATTTTAGGGTGCTATATCATCACTAACCAGTCCTAGTAGGTCGAAACAGTTGTTTGTGATACAATTGAATTTATTCTTTGACTATTTATTATCGAAATCTAAACCTTGTGTCATTTAACCTTCTGCTGAGGGACTGTTTTCCCCGAGGTTTATAATATTTCATAACGTAATATTTGGTGTTTATATGTTTATATGAACATGTGGTCTTTTTTCCATGTACTTTTTGCCATAAGTCTCCGTGTTAATCTTTCTCTTGTTCATGTTTTGCACTATTTTCATCAAAATGGATTTTAGATTTAGATTCTGTTGGAATGTCGGTATGTTCTTTCCTAATTTTGAAGCACTCAGTATAAAAACGACGATATTTATTGAATTATGTGGTTACATAAAGTACATCTCTTCATCTTTATTTTGAAATTTACTATGGGCAAAAATTTAATTTCCCTAAGGTGCCTCCTTTGATTTCAACACCCTCTAGCATCACCGGCGAATCCTAGAATTACGAAGCAGCTGTTTGATGCAGTTTAATTTCTTGGTTTGCCTTGCCGAATATAAGTATATATATATATATGTGTGTGTGTATCTTTCTTTTGAAAGAGTTGCATATTCATATAGGTGGCTTTAGTGCAACCGTTGCCGCCAACTCAATTCCAGTCGTTGGTCTTAACACGGAAGTTTGTTGTTTGGTCTTGCAATCCAGTACATTAAAACACAATTTCACAATGTAAATTCACCACATGATATTGGTTTTTCTATTATCTTGCTTGGAATCAGCTGGATGCATTTCTTCACCTATTTGATATCCGTCTATACCTTGTTGTTACGTCGTATAACAACAACACATCACTTCCTAATTAAGATGTGGCATCCCATCGGCTCTTTATAATCCTGTAATTAGGGACGCGTCTGTTTCCACAAATTCAGATAGTCCCATACCAGCAGCGTGTTTTGGTGAATGTCTTGTTGAACGTATGTTATGTAATGAAAATAGTTGGTCTTCAAAGACGATACGCCGTGTAATTGAACGGAATTTAAGAAGTTTCCTACTAGAATACTTTCATATTGCATATAGAGAATGGTTTGGAGGATCGCTATCTGAGCGTGCATTACGTGGTGTCGGCTGCTAAGGGAACGTGCAATACACGTGCTGAGGATGTAAACAACAGTTCTCGGAATATCAAACGGAAGTCAGCAGCATACTGTTACATAACCACTAACTGTTAATTCTCATCCAGATGTTATCTGATTACCTAAACAACAAACAAATTGAATCTTATTTTATATGGAAACATATGTAAGCTCTTCAATACTAAACATGAGAGACCGATTTCCCTGCAAGCGCGACTGATGCAATCGTCTGTATGGACGTACATAATTACTACATATTTAAATTTGTAATCCACATTCTTATCTTTATTACTCCAGGTTCCATTGCGTCCTTTTAAACGTTATTGGCTGCTTAGATCGACGCATGTTGGGCGGCCGTCTATCTTTGGACCGGTCGGAGTCAACATTACATAAAGACTTTCAATTTCTGAATAATTTATGGACATAAACAGTTATGTCATGTTATTTTCCGTCTGAACGAGTGTGTTTATGTCTATATGTAATTGTCACACGTCGGCGTCTATCGTTGACTATAGATAAACTTGCTTATGTAACAGAACCAATGTACAATCCTCCACGATCAATAACAATGACACGTTTACAGTGGTAGAGTGTATGTAACCATCATTATATTGAAACAGGGTTTACCCACTCTTTGGTGTTGGCTTGTCAGCTGACAGCAAGGTGCATTACATGTCTGCGGAAAGACAGATCGATTTATTTGTGGGAATGGAGACAGAGAAATAATGACGTTTAACCATGATGAAACAAATTAAGATTTAAAAGATGTTGCTGAAGTAGGGGCTGTTGCTTCCGAAAGCGAAATCATAGAAAACGTTATTCAATTGTCACTTGTTGTCAAGGTACCCTGATACATGTTTGCTAGGTCGAAGTTATGTTGACGATGGTAAGGTGAACCCTTCTTGTTGTATTTGTGTTGTTGATTTTACCTGTTATTATCAAGGAAGCATCCGATACCGGAATTAGCTTTCCCTTAGAGTTCAGGAATTTCATCATCGTTATCATCATCAGCATCAGCAGCAGCAGTAGTAGTAGCAGCAGACATGAAGCTGTGCTCATTTGCAGTTATTTGTGTATTGGTACATGTAGTCGTACATTGTACTTTTTCGCATTTGTTGCAGAAATACCTCTTTATGAGCAATGTTATTTCCTATACTGTGACCATTTGGTGTTCTAGTAAATAACACTGTCCCCTTCTGTGGTGCGTTTTTATTAGACAGGTTATTTGTATCATTCTTTGGCCTTTGATATAGTTACGTTGTTTAGGAAGGAACATCGACATGTTTGACAAATGCGCGTGTTCTTTCCCGTTTTGTATTGTTGTACAGTTACTTGTCGGTATAAATATATGTCCTTGGTTGGGGCTATCTGATGTCAAGGGGATTTCTTAATAGAAATTGATTTCATTTCTTGCCGATTCCTGTTTTGTGATACTTCCATGGGTTCGTGTCGTTTTGCGACACTAGAACGCTAAATTCATCTAAAGAAACGATGTAAACCACAATTTTGCATATGATACTCATATTATTAGGCCTGTAACACATGTTTGTATCGAATTTGTCGGAACATCTACAACCTGGTCGATAGGTTTAAATTTGATTACTTCAAGTCATCTAATTTGTAATATTGGCAATTAAATTTGTTTTAAATGAAATTAACGCTAAACGAGACCAAACAATCCACATCTCAATTATGAATCTAAAATTCTGGTACCAGTCTTATGTAATAAACGAAAAATGAGGTTAGTCTAATCAATTAGATGGACATTTGACGCCGGTTCATCACAGGAAGTACTGGTATCGTCAGCGATTACAGTTTGTGGTACACACTAGGATTGTGTAGTGTTCTTTGATATGGAAAAATCCATGTTTTGGCATCCCGTGATGGAATATTCTTATTCACTTTAGACTTGGGTTGCTATTGGTTAAAAACCTACAGACACTACACTGTTGTAAGTCTCGACATCACTTTACTACGTACATGTACTGCCATGTAGTGCAAAACATGGCTGTTTATGATGCTTGTAGACTAGAATTACCATCAGATTCTTACAGCAGTTAAAAAGGGAAAGGTCAAGGAGCTGTGGGAGTCATTTAGTTTCATTGCAATACATACACGTGTTCAAAGGTTGTTCAAAGTTACATGTAAAAATATATAGACACACGCAAGATACTGACGTTATGCTAACCGGTACATCTAATTTGACGTCAAAACGTCAACAATTTGAGGGCGTTGTTTGCCGTGAAAATAACTTGCCATATTGATACTATGAACCGGGAATAAAGAAATGTTTATGCAAAGCTGATTGTAATATGTAACTTAATTGTATATATATCATAAGTACAAACGTTGGATATTGATATTAAAATATTGAAAACAAACGGAATAATTTGTAGAATTTAATGTTATATTTACATATATGTTGCATTCGCGGTTATGTTATATTCATAAGTATACTACGACTTCCAGTAATTCGGTTCTGTGGAACTTACAGCTAGGTGTCTGTATGGTAAAGCAAATGGACGCCTACCACTTCGCGAAGCTTTAAAATTTTGTCAGAACAAAATTATTATTAATACACAATTTGTCTCAAAACCGTTATAATCACCCTTACGGGCCATATTCTATTTGACTGTTAATTGTTTTGATATCGACCGTATACCACCTTCTGGTAATAGTACTGATGTTAAAATTATTTTCCATTACCTTCCTTTTTTATTGTGACCTAAATTTCCTTAAGTTGACTCGTTATCTCTTTTTATACATCTTTCCACTGAAAACATTACAGTGTGTCGACTTCGGTCTACAGTATAGATCGAGAAAACAAAAGGCTAGATAATATCCGTAATTCGCTCATTCTCAGGTGATTCTAAAGCCGCAGCAGATTTAATCGTCATTTCATCCCTTATGGCGCTTAAGTTGGGATTCCTATGATCGTAGCTGTTACAAAGACATAAAGTCCAAACCAAACTGTGGAAATATCTGACATCAAAAGCTATTTATCGTAATGGTACTGTTTATTCTTCAACATCGAAGTATTTCTTCAGTTATCCTAAACCAAGGCAGTATGATTTGCCCAAGGAACAAAACAGCTCTTACAAAATCATCACTGGCTGAGAAAATGTTTATACCTGCAATCTAATGTCGTGTTTAATTTTCCGCATATCGCATTATCGTCACTAAACCATGAATAGTTCCAGACAATATCCGCCAAACAAATCTGATCCACTAGTTATTTTTCCTTTATATCTCTGACAATTTCTTATCACGATCACTGCCTTTGAATTTCATATTTATCAAAAAGCATTCAGAGGGCAGGTGCTTGTTGCCCGAAAACATAACTCTCCGTGATTGCTTTGAGATGACTTGTCAAAAACCAGATGCTCAAATTACGGTCAGCGACATTTGAGAAATGTGTTTGAAAATGACCAGCGTTGATGCTGTATATTGTGACTGTCCCTGTAGTTGTTAGCGGTCCGTCGTCGCATACGGTTTTGTGAGTCCGGCTTCCGTTTCTAGTTGTTGGATCTCCTTCAGATTGTTGGTATCGATTAATGACGGGAAATGTCGTATGGATACGATCTGTCAATGACGGAGAAGCGCCCATCTGTAGTGTTGCTGATGTAGGTCTCTGGTTACGTCTGAAAAATCTATTACGGGCGGATCTCCAAGGTCAGATATGTTTTTACATTGCTGGAAATGTGCATGTCTTTGAGGATATGCCGTGAATAGATGAGCACAGAAGCTAATTGGTGGGTTATTTTCAGAAGCTTTGATGAAGGTTCGTAAGTGCTCCAATCAGTGGCATTCAGGTTTTGAAATGTTCCTGTTGTATCTTGGACTGATTAAACGCACTATCAGTATCAGTAGAGGTCGTTCACTCAGAGATTAATGTTAGGATCTCCAATGTCGGGAAGCAAGGTATTGGTACATTGCGTATGTGTGTGCACGTGCTCACCTATAACACCTTCCTGAATGACGAGTGTACCTAGTGGCCAACACGCTCCATGTCTACGTTTTACATAATAAACCTTGGAATTGTCGTTAATGTGTGTTAATGATAGACTGTTTTCTCTTTCCCCACCAGGTATACACAAAGCAATGCGTGTGCTTTAAAACACCGTTTCGGAGTTCGGATACATAGTGGCATTAGGTAAGGGCTTTAGACAGGTGCACTCGTTCACATATCCTTGGGCTCCAATGCTAAACTGATATCATTAAAACTGTAACCATCTTGAGAACAGTGATTTTTATAGTCATATTTCTATCGGAATGAACACTCGATTCTCCTACGGAGCCCTGGTGTCATGTTGTGATTGCACCTTGTTAAGTTTCTAGAGCTTTTAGCCTGTCATTCCCAATGTTGACCCTCCCTATTTTACCTCCTACCTCATTTTAGTCTGTCGAATATTTGATTTGGCCATTTCGCGTTGTCGACACATCAACGTGATACCATTTGATACGTTTACTGACCTATTTCGTCAACCCGACCCATTTTCATATATATACGTTCATAATTCTGCCAACTATGCAGGCAGATTCTCGTCAAACCATTCAGGCATTTAGTTGTCCTGTTCCCTACTCTTTCGACCGACTACCATCCTTCACATAGCTACGACGAACTCTTATTCTCTCACACTCCTACAGCCGGCTCCTCTCTAACACCCCAACAACCAACTGATAATCCTCACACCCCTACAACCGACTGATGCTCCTCGCACCCGTACAACCGACTGATGCCTCTCACACCCCTACAACCGACTGATAATCCTCACACCCCTACAACCGACTGATGCTCCTCGTACCCGTACAACCGACTGATGCTCCTCACTCCCCTACAACCGACTGATACACCTCACACCCCTACAACCGACTGATACACCTCACACCCCTACAACCGACTGATACACCTCACACCCCTACAACCGACTGATACTCCTCACACCCCTACAACCGACTGATACACCTCACACCCCTACAACCGACTGATGCCTCTCACACCCCTACAACTGACTGATACTCCTCACACCCCTACAACCGACTGATGCCTCTCACACCCCTACAACCAACTGATGCTCCTCACACCCCTACAACCGACTGATACTCCTCACACCCCTACAACCGACTGATAATCCTCACACCCCTACAACTGACTGATAATCCTCACACCCCTACAACTGACTGATGCTCCTCACACCCCTACAACCGACTGATACTCCTCACACCCCTACAACCGACTGATACACCTCACACCCCTACAACCGACTGATGCCTCTCACTCCCCTACAACCGACTGATGCCCCTCACACCCCTACAACCGACTGATGCTCCTTACACGCCTACAACCGACTGATGCTCCTCACACGCCTACAACCGACTGATACTCCTCACACCCCTACAACCGACTGATACACCTCACACCCCTACAACCGACTGATGCTCCTCACACCTCTACAACCGACTGATGCCTCTCACACCCCTACAACCGACTGATACACCTCACACCCCTACAACCGACTGATACACCTCACACCCCTACAACCGACTGATACACCTCACACCCCTACAACCGACTGATGCTCCTCACACCCCTACAACCGACTGATGCCTCTCACTCCCCTACAACCGACTGATGCTCCTCACACCCCTACAACCGACTGATGCCTCTCACTCCCCTACAACCGACTGATACACCTCACACCCCTACAACCGACTGATGCTCCTTACACGCCTACAACTGACTGATGCTCCTCACACCCCTACAACCGACTGATGCCTCTCACACCCCTACAACTGACTGATACTCCTCACACCACCACAACCGACTGATGCTCCTTACACGCCTACAACCGACTGATGCTCCTCACACGCCTACAACCGACTGATACTCCTCACACCCCTACAACCAACTGATGCTCCTCACTCCCCTACAACCGACTGATACTCCTCACACCCCCACAACCGACTGATGCCTCTCACACCCCTACAACCAACTGATGCTCCTCACACCCCTACAACCGACTGATACACCTCACACCCCCACAACCGACTGATGCCTCTCACACTACAACCCTGACACACTACAACTGATGCTCCTCACACTCCTACAACCGACTGATGCTCCTCACACCCCCACAACCGACTGATGCCTCTCACACCCCTACAACCAACTGATGCTCCTCACACCCCTACAACCGACTGATACACCTCACACCCCCACAACCGACTGATGCCTCTCACACCCCTACAACCAACTGATGCTCCTCACACTCCTACAACCGACTGATGCTCCTCACACTCCTACAACCGACTGATGCTCCTCACACTCCTACAACCGACTGATGCTCCTCACACTCCTACAACCGACTGATGCTCCTTACACGCCTACAACCGACTGATGCTCCTCACACGCCTACAACCGACTGATACTCCTCACACCCCTACAACCGACTGATGCCTCTCACACCCCTACAACCGACTGATACTCCTCACACCCCCACAACCGACTGATGCTCCTCACACGCCTACAACCGACTGATACTCCTCACACCCCTACAACCAACTGATGCTCCTCACACCCCTACAACCAACTGATGCTCCTCACACCCCTACAAATACACCTCACACCCCCACAACCGACTGATGCCTCTCACACCCCTACAACCGACTGATGCTCCTCACACGCCTACAACCAACTGATGCCTCTCACACCCCTACAACCAACTGATGCTCCTCACACGCCTACAACTGACTGATGCTCCTCACACCCCTACAACCAACTGATACACCTCACACCCCTACAACCGACTGATACACCTCACACCAATACAACCGACTCTTCTCTCACACTCCTATAACTGACTCCCGCCTGTCCCATGCCTACAATCGACTCCTGATCCCTCATTCTCCTATACAACCTTCACGCGCCAACAACCTACTACCGTTCATTACACTCCTACACCACCGACTCCCGCCCTTGATACTTCGATACAACAGATTCATAACCCCAGACATTCATGCGACCGACTCCCGGTCATTCTTAGGTCTCCTACGACGTATCGCGGTTCCTACCACCACTGGACTCGAACTTTTTTACCCTCACTTCCCAAGAACCTCTCACATTCCAACTAGCACTAGGCCATTTAGATGTTGTCGTTGTACGTCGTTTTATATAGTTTCGGAAGCATGCATGGTGTTACACATCAGTGTAATGAGACTCGATATCAGAACCAAAGAATGCTACTGCGTCTAATGTAATAGAACAAAAATCGGGATGTGTTTAACGAACCGTCTCTTGAGAAGTTCCGGGTCAGCGAGTTTCATGACGGATATCGGTGGTATTACAACTCCTGGTATCCGTCTGTTGGTGTTGTTTTGTTGGTGTGCTTGGTTGTTGTTTTTTTAGTAAACACAATTGGGCAATATTGATTTATAATATATGACTTGTATGTAAATATTAATGTTTATTATGTGTATAATCTATCTCTTGCTAGTTTTCACACTTGCCTGTGATTTGTCGCTATGTTGTTCAGGAGGTCACCAGAGTTAGCCTTGGCTGAGACCGACCCAGAGGTGTCCTACATGACGTAAGCTAGGTTTGATAGAGATGTGTTAGTGTGCTGTGTTTATATTTTACCGTCCTGCCATGTTTTTTTCGCTTTTCCATTCTTACCTTTACATTGCATTTGTTATCAGCGAAAGAACGTCACCCAAGACGAAGGCTGACAAAGTGAGTTTCTGTGATAACGAAATCTCGAGCCAACCGAACGAGATCTCAGGCCGCCAACGGCAGCCTAGCCCCACCACCTATTCCGAGGTGATAATCTTAGACAGCATACCCCCGGGACCCTGGCCAATCAAACGATCAGCTAGGTAAGGCACATGGTTGCCAGTTTTTTCTTTCTTGTCAATGTAGATAGCAAACGCATGCGAGACTTGTTGTGTCGTTTTGGTAGATTTATATACTTATTTTTGAAGCTTTGTTTTCCCATGTAGCCTTTTCACCCAGCGCGCGACCACGAACGTATATTGCATGCGATATACATGTGTATTTCGTGTTATTGCACGATATTTTATCATGCGATTGATGGACCAAGGGAGATAACTCGAAGATCATTTGTTACCTTCATCTGTTTCAAGATATAAGCAGAGTTTTTTGGTATTATTTTATAGATTGGAAAGTTGATCTGGTCCATATCACTAAAGATCGGATAATAAAGTGTGTCAAACGTATCTACAAAGTAAACTGCCTTAGAATATCCTGTTGTTGTTTGCATTTCTATATTTTAGCAGGGAATTCAATCTCGATAATACTTTTGACGATTTTCATTCGGTCTTATCACCTATAGCTGTATAAAAATGACACTGAAAAAAACCTATGAAAATTCATGCGGAGTAACCCAACAATCTTGTTGGAAACAGGATGGCTACTAAAGAGAAGATAATGATATGTTAATGATAATGTTAGACTGTAGCAGTTTTTCATACCCAGACCTCCGTATATATGTTCCATATAGCAATGGCAAACATGTTACAATACCACTCAAACGTACATGTTGTATACGTTTGTCCTTGTGAGTAAACACCATTGATGTTGTAAACGTGTGTAATGGAATGTTGTTGAAAGGATATTCCGCATGTTAGGATTTCATGGGATGCCTTTGAAGAAAATTGTACAAAATTATCTACTTAATGTTCTTATGGAAATCGTTTACCATTTAGATAAACAGACGATATAAAATTTGCTGAAATTCTTTATAGGTCTAGTTAGATCGATTTACAAACGTTCGCGCGGCCCAGATTGCGTCATAACAGGTTTTCGTTGTTTCGTTTTCGAACAGAATGAGATATTTGTGTAAATTATAAAATCAAAAGAAATCAAGCCTAATGACGTGAACTATGATCCAATGACCTTTCAGTTCTGGATTTCCCGATTCGCTATATTTAGACGGTTTGGATGGGAGTGTTCCCGCCAATTTCGTCTAGTATGATAACTGGAGAGATATCAATAGTTTTAAAAGTCATTAGAGGTCCTAAAAGGTACAGAACATCCAGGAACTTTGTAAATTTGGCAGAATATCATTTAAATAAATTATGTCGGTATTTAAAGACGGCTGCTGAATCATTAAAACAAACAGATATTGATCGATGACACATGTAAATCAAGACATAGCTTTCTTAACGTACATGCGAGGTCTATTATGGATTCAAGGGAGGTAACCCTTGCAGTCTCCAGCCGCCTCGCTGTAATTAATGTGCATGGTAATCGACGTGTCAGTCCTATAGAGCTCAGACCGTTCCTGATGTTTTAGAGTTAATTAAGACACGCACTTCTCTAATATGGCAGCACTCCTACCATACCGTAGTTATAATGCAACAGAAAGAAGCTTTCACGACGGCTTTTGAGAGATATGCTAGTTTTAAGGGCAATTTCCAACAACTTCGTAAATATAATGTCTGTTTGTGGATTCTGAGAGTTATCGAAAAGAACATTATAACTGTTAAGCGGAGTTACTAGGGCCACGTGTGCATTCGTGCACGTCGCACCGACATGCACAAAGCAAGCGATAAGGTCATTTGGAATGCATGTACACTCCGCTCGGCTCATCGCACGTTGAGTGCCTAGACAATTGTCAGAGGTCTATGGTACATTACTGTGTCTGCAATCAACTGCAGTTAGCCAAACAGAAAATCAAATCAGTTGTGAAGATAGGCTTTCAAACGTCCGACGGATTTTATTGACAAGTATATCACAGTGATACAAAACATCTACAGCTACACCATAATAAAATACTGCTTCATCGACCGGTCGCCGGAAATCGGTAGATCACGTGATATATTATGGCGGCAGATTGAACGTGATGCTGTAATGATATACACTTTTTCTGATTAAAACTTGGTCACGGAACAACGGATTAGCCGCCAGACTCTTTATAAATCAGAGATTGCAGTTAATGTTATAGGTGCCTCTCCTTGGCCTGTTGACCTCCAAACGAGGGAATTACCTCCGCCTCGTTTGGAGTCATCCGACCATACACCCCTCCTTACATGTATAATAGAGATACCACAACCTGCTGTACAGTGGTGGAATACTTTGAAAGGGATTATTTATATCATTTAGAAAATATGTATCTTTATGTAAGGAAATAACAATATTATCAACAATAAAACCATATCTAATATTTTTCATCAGTTTCAAACCCAATATCAGCTATCAAACTGATTTCGGCATTGTAGAATTTCCTATTCTGAATATTCTAATTTGTTAACAAATACCAGGGAAATTAACGTTGCGATCTTCGCCAGTCCATTTAAAGAAGTATATCACCAGAGTGAGCACTGTAGCCTTAAGTGAAACCTTTCATCAAGATAAACATTTTAGTGTTAACTGCAACCCGTGACCAGACTCTACATTGTAGTGTTAACCTTAACCCATTACCAGACTCTACACTGTAGTGATGATTATAACCCATCACCAGACTCTACACTGTAGTGATAATTATAACCCATCACCAGACTCTACACTGTAGTGTTAACCTTAACCCATCACCAGACTCTACACCGTAGTGATGATTATAACCCATCACCAGACTCTACACTGTAGTGATAATTATAACCCATCACCAGACTCTACACTGTAGTGATAATTATAACCCATCACCGGACTCTACATTGTTGTGTTAACTATAACCCGCCACCGGACTCTACATTGTAGTGTTAATTATAACCCGTCACCGGACTCTACATTGTAGTGTTAACTCTAACCCGCCACCGGACTCTACATTGTTGTGTTAACTATAACCCGTCACTAGACTCTACATTGTAGTGTTAATTATAACCCGTCACCAGACTCTACATTGTAGTGTTCACTATAACCCGTCATCAGGCTCTACATTGTAGTGATAATTATAACCCGTCACCAGACTCTACATTGTAGTGTTAACTATGACCCGCCACCGGACTATACATTGTAGTGTTAACTACTACCCGTCACCAGACTCTACATTGTAGTGTTAACTATAACCCGTCACCAGGCTCTACATTGTAGTGTTAACTATAAACCGTCACCAGACTCCGCATTGTAGTGTTAACTATGACCCGTCACCAGACTCCGCATTGTAGTGTTAACTATGACCCGTCACCAGGCTCTACATTGCAGTGTTAACTACAACCCGTCACCAGACTTCACATTGTAGTGTTAACTATAACCTGTCATCAGGCTCTACATTGTAGTGTTAACTATAACCCGTCACCAGGCTCTACATTGTGGTGTTAACTACAACCCGTCACCAGACTTCACATTGTAGTGTTAACTACAACCCGTCACCAGACTTCACATTGTAGTGTTAACTATAACCTGTCATCAGGCTCTACATTGTAGTGTTAACTATAAACCGTCACCAGACTCTACATTGTAGTGTCAACTATAACCCGTCACGAGACTCTACATTGTAGTGTTAACTATAACCCGTCGACAGACTCTACATTGTAGTGTTAACTATAACCCGTCACCAGACTCTACATTGTAGTGTTAAATATAAACCGTCACCAGGCTCCACATTGTAGTGTTAACTATAACCCGTCACCAGACTCTACATTGTAGTGTTAACTATAACCCGTCACCAGACTCTACATTGTAGTGTTAACTATAATCCGTCACCAGACTCACCAGACACCACATTGTAGTGTTAAGTGTAACCCGTTACCACACTCCACATTGTAGTGTTAACTATAATCCGTCGACAGACTCTACATTGTAGTGTTAACTATAACCCGTCACTAGACTCTACATTGTAGTGTCAAGTGTAACCCGTTACCAGACTCTTCATTGTAATGTTAACTACAACCCGTCACCAGGCTCTACATTGTAGTGTTAAATATACCCCGTCATCAGACTCCATATTGTAGTGTTAACTTTAACCCGTCACCAGACTCTACATTTTAGTGTTAACTAAAACCCGTCACCAGGCTCCACATTGTAGTGTTAACTGTAACCTCACAAGGCTCTACATAGTAGTGTTAACTACGACCCGTCACCAGGCCCTACATTGTAGTGTTAACTGTAACCTCACAAGAATCTACATAGTAGTGTTAACTATAACCCGTCACCAGGCTCGACATTGTAGTGTTAATTATAACCCGTCACCAGGTTCTACATTGTAGTGTTAATTATAACCCGTCACCAGACTCCACATTGTAGTGTTAACTATAACCCGTAAATAGACTCTACATTGTAGTGTTAACTATAACCCGTCACCAGGCTCTACATTGTAGTGTTAACTATACCCCGTCATCAGACTCCATATTGTAGTGTTAACTATGACCCGTCACCAGACTCTACATTTTAGTGTTAACTACGACCCATCACCAGACTTCACATTGTAGTGTTAACTATAACCCGTCACCAGACTCCGCATTGTAGTGTTAACTATTACCCGTCACCAGACTCTACATTGTAGTGTAAACTACGACCCGTCACCAGACTTCACATTGTAGTGTTAACTATTACCCGTCACCAGACTCTACATTTTAGTGTTAACTACGACCCGTCACCAGACTTCACATTGTAGTGTTAACTATTACCCGTCACCAGACTCTACATTTTAGTGTTAACTACGACCCGTCACCAGACTCTACATTGTAGTGTTAACTATGACCCGTCACCAGACTTTACATTGTAGTGTTAACTATAACCCGTCACCAGACTCTACATTGTAGTGTTAACTATACCCCGTCATCAGACTCCATATTGTAGTGTTAACTATGACCCGTCACCAGACTCTACATTTTAGTGTTAACTACGACCTATCACCAGACTTCACATTGTAGTGTTAACTATAACCCGTCACCAGACTCCGCATTGTAGTGTTAAC